GGAGGGCAGCCGGGGCAAGCGAGCAAGGGGCCCTGCCGGCTCCAGCGAGTGGCGTGGCTGCAGAACCGCCGGTGCCACCCTGGGCTGCGCGAGCGCAGGTGGCGCTCCCAGAGCGGGTGAGGCCCTGCCCCCCCCCGTGCGGCCCGCCTTGGCCCCACCTGGAGTCCCGTGTCGTGTCCGTTCCAGGCACCGCAGCCGAGGAAAGGTGCCGGCGCGCTGGAAAGGCAGCAGGGATGATGCAGGCAGGAGGCAGAGCCTTGTGAGAGAGCTGGAAGAGCCGGCCCGTTTGGCCCGAGGAGAGGAGGCTGGGGGAGGCCGGAGGGCACTCCAGGGCTCTCGAGGAAGGCCGGGCGCAGACTGCCGGGGCAGTGCGAGCATGGCCTGGCCGGGGGGTGGTCGGGGGGTGGGCCCTCCACCCACCCACACCGGGGGCGTTCAGGGCAGCCCTCCGAGCCGGACGCTCGGGCTCGGAGCCAGCGGCCTTCCGGGCCCCTCCGGCTCGCCGGTTCCAGGATCCCCGCTGCCTGGGCGGCGCTCCTTGGTGGCCAGGCGCAGCGCGTGAGCCGGGAGCGAGGGCAGCGCCTCGGTGAAGCCCACGGCTGGACGCGTGCAAGCGCACCAGGCTGCCTTGCCTGCCAGGCCCACATCTGCACGGGCAGCCTCCCCGGTTCACCCCCAGGCCTGGCAGGTGCTGCAGGGCTGTCAGGGACGGGCAGAGGAAAGGCCCTCTGGGCGCATGCAGAGTGGAGCCGCTTCACCTCCGAGTGGTGCCTTGCCCTTCCGGAGAGTGAGCAGGAGGCCATGTAGGCCCACGGACGTGGCGGCCTGAGCCCCGCTCTGCAGCCCTGGGAAGCGTAGGGTGGATCTGGATCCGCAGCAGGTGCCGGGAGACTTGCCATGGATCAGCGGGTGTTTCTTAAGGACTCGGGGCGTAGGAGGACCCTGGGCTGGCGTGGGGTGCGCCCAGTCCGGCACCTGTGGGCTACCTGTCCAGCCAGCGTCCCGCCAGAGTGGCCCAGCGCCCTTCCCGGCCCCGAGTTGCTCAGTGCATGAGTGTCTGACCTGTTCCAGCCAAAGGGCTGCAGGAGGTGAGGAGCCTTGGGGGGGACCAGCAGTCCCTTTCCCTTTGCGGGGGCTCCAGGCCAAGGCAGGTGCTGAAAGCAGGCTGCACCCGAACACTCCCAGCCACTCTGCCCGCCCCCCGGCTCCACCTCTGTCCTGAGCCACTCCGGTCCCCCCGGCTCCGGCGGGGGCCTGAGGTTCGAGAAGCAAGCGCGGGTGGTCCCGGGAGCCTGAAGCCCGCCCACAGCAGGATGGGCCACAGAGCCGGGCCTGCTGGCCGGACGGGCACGGCAGCAGAGGAACGAGGCCCCGTTGCCGAGGGAGGTCACCCGGGTCCCAGGTGCGGGTCAGGTAGCTGCCGTCGCGGCACGCCTGTGGGCCAGCCTGCGCGCCCCAGGCTGGCCTGGTGGAAGGCGAAGGGGCCCCTGAGGCTGGCCCAAACCTTTCCGGGGACCCGGCTCCTTCCGGAGAGTGGATTGGCCTGGGGGCTCGGGGGCTGGCAGGTCCGGCGCGAAGATGCAGCCAGGCAGCGGCAGCTGCTCCGAGTCGAGCCGGGCAGCCCGGCGGCTCATGCCCGCCGCGGGCATCGGCAGCCGCGCCGTGTGCGTGTGCTCGGCTGTGGAGGTGGGGCGGCCGCCGGCCGTGCAGCAGGCGCTCCCCTCGCCGAGCGAGCGGCTCCGTCTGTGCTGGGCGCCTGCGCCCGCTCCGCTTGGGCCACCGGAGCTGTTCCGGCACCCCGACAGCAGCCGAGCGAGCGCATGGAGCGCATCCGTCTAGGAACTCGGAATGTAGGTCATGCTGAAGGATCCTGGAAAGCGGCACGCAGAGATGGAGACCGGGAGAAGCAGGGGGTGCGAGGGGAGGCCGCAGCCGTGCGGCGCGGCCAGCCGTCCCCCTGGCTTCCGCAGCCGGGGTGCTGGGCATGTGGGTCCCCGGGAGCCGGCTGCGTGGGGCACGGGGCGGATCCAGCCCCCGGTGCGCAGGCTGCTGAAGCACCTCGTGCGCGGGCGGCCAGGGAGGGGAAGGGCCCCACTGGGCAGGGACGGGCACGGAGGGAGGGCTGTAGGCAGGTGGCGTGCGGAAGCCGCAGTCCAGATCTCCCCTTGGGTGGGGGGCAGGGGCACGGCTTGGGTGGGCTGGGGCTGAAAGCCTCTTTGCTCGAGGAATGGCACCTCACGGAGCCACCTGCACCGCCCTGTGGGCGAGCGGCGCGGCAGCTGCGGGAATGGGGCGGCATGAGTGCCGCAGAGCGCAGGGAAGGGGGCGACTGCTTCCGGTCCCCCTGCCCCTGCTGTGGTCGTGCTGCAAATCATACTTTCCCCCAGAACACGTGAACAATCCTTCTGCCTCCCCCCCCCCCACAGCTCTCTGCTGGCTTCAGGCAGGGAAGGGGCCCGCCTTCAGGGCAAGTGCCCCACAAAGCTGGGGCAGCGGAGAGGGAGTGGCCTGTGGCCGCATCCGTAGGAGCCCCCCCCCCATGTCCCGGAGACCTGCCTGGCTGGGACGAGGCCCTGAGCAGAGGGGGATGGTGGGGCGGGGGGGGGCGGTTGGGGGGGGGGGTGGCTTCCAGGCCCAGGATGGGCCAGGCCCACGGGGAGCTGGCAGAGCAGGCACGGCTGCTAGAGTTGGCTGTGGACCCGGTGGGGCTGGGGCAGGGGGAAGGGGCCTGGGCCTCAGGCTTGGGCTTGTGGGATCCACCGGTTTTCCATAGGCCCTGGAGGGCCCGCCAGACTCAGCAGAGGGGAGGCACCCCCTGGGAATGAAGGCGCATGGGATCAGTCCAGACCCCGGGACGAGAACAGGATCCAGGCCCCGGAGCCCGCTCCTGGAGGGGCCCTCAGGTGGCAGAGTCAGGGCGCCCCTCTGCCCCCCATCGGCAGCCTTTTGGGTTGGCCCCAGCCACGTGCACCCCCTTGGGGTCGCTGGGGAGAAGGACGGGCTGCAGCTCCCCCCCGCCCCGCCAGTCCGTGGAGGAAGCTGCGCGAGGGGAGCCGGCCAGGTGGAGCAGGGCTGGCGGAGGGCCCTCGGCCGAAGGGGCTGCCCCCGGGGAGGGGCCGTCTCGCAGCAGCGGTGATGCCAAGGGCCAGGAGGGGCCAGGCCTCCTCTTCTCCCCCCTCCCCCCCCCCCGCCAGGTGGCCCTCCCCCCCCCCCCGGGCAGGCAAGGCACCGGTGATGCAGGCGCCTTCTCCGCCTCCTCGCCCTGGCCGCGAGGCGTGCGCTGGCCTTGTGTGGACCCATGCCAGGCAAGACCTTAAGGCTGGCCCCCGCGGCCGTTTTCCAGGGGGGCGGCTGGTGGCGATCCGTCCGCCTCCGCACTCCTCTCCCCAGAACGGAGCGGCCTGAGAGTGCCCGGTGGAGGCCGCCTGGCGCTTCCCTGCTGGCTGCCGCAAGCCCGTCCACCCGGGCAGGGGGAGGCTCCGCCATGGGGCTCTGGTGGCCGTGCGCTTGCTCGTGGGCAGGCGCTTCCGCAGCTCCTCTCGGGCTGGGCCTGGTCGGAGCCGCAGCTTGCAGGTGGCAGCGCGGTGCCGTCGGACGGACAACTGAGCGTCATGGGAAGCCCGGAGATTAAATGCTGCTCCCGCCCGTCCCAGCGCCAACGGGCGCGCACATGCTCGGGTGGCTTGAGCAGGAGGCACTTCGCGGGCACAGACAATGTGCGGGAACCAAATAAATGAGACACGAGCGACTGTGGCGGGGTGGATAGCGGCGCAAGCGGAAGAAAGGCGTTGGGGAGGTGGACCCCGAAGGGCCGTGATCTCGGCTGTCGCAGGCGAGAGGCGGGGGCAGCGCATGGGCCGGCGGGCCTCTCATCTGGGTTCTTGCATCAGGGCGTGTGTTTAAAAGCGTTTGGATGAGAACAGAGACTCTGCTTTGAGGCCTAGAAAACGCGGCTCCCAGGGAGAGACCTCCTGCCCCCGCCGCCTTCGCTTCGCAAACACCCAGCACGCTGCGTCCCTTGATCAGGAGAGACGTCTCCGGCAGGGAGCGGCTCCTGCGTTTAGCTGGGCAAGCAGAAGCGTGGGCCCAGGTGGAAATTCAAAGCCAGGGACGGGAAGGCGCAAGGAAGCGGCGCCTCGGCCACGCGAGGCGGAGAGAAATGTGTCGCTTCAGAGCCATGTGCCGCCGCACTGCCAGAGCCGAAATCAAAGGGCACCGAGAATTAAGCGCCACAGAAGGAGGGGGGATGGAGCTGGGCACAGGGCCTGAGCTGGGCCCAGGAAGGGCAGCTGGTTCCATGCGCGTGCTCCCGGGTCCGGGGGTCCGGGCGTTTCCTTCCCCCACCGTGGCTGCAGCTGAACTTCCAAGGGAGCTGGCTTGCCCTGTTGCTGAGAACAGCACGAGAGGCTGGAAAGCCAGTCCAGGCGTCAGGCTGGCAAAGAGCTGTTCCGAGGCGGCCCCCCAGGCTGGCTGGCCGGCCGTGCAGGGGCGGCGCAGGGCTGCCCACGGGACGGAGCCGGCCTCTCTGAACACGGTGGCAGGGCAGGGGGCTGCGGGAAGTCTGGCGCCCTTCCTCAAGGAGCCGGAGGAGCTGGGGGGCTGTGGGGGAGGCAGAGGCAGCAGGGGCAGCCCCCACTTCCCCCAAGAAGGCCTGCTTCCGGTGCTCGGGGCTGAAGCGGGGCTGGCGGGGCGGGGACTGGCCTGCCCCCCATCTCAGCCGGCGCTCCTGGCGGGCCCTCGCTTCCTGAACCTGAACCCCCTCAGGACAGAACGCCCAGGGGCCGGGTGCCCCTCTCAAGCCCCCCCACCATGGTGCGCTGTGCTGATGGCACTTTGCCTAAGCTGATGGAAAACCCAGGGGAGAAAATCCCCGGATGTGCCTGGCCTCCCCTCCAAAA